GCTAAATGATTAAATGTAATGTAAATATATATATATATATATATATATATATATATATATATATATATAATATATACTGTTAAAAATTAAGATACAAATATTTGGACACTTTCTGTTTGTCAAACTAAGACACATTTGAGAACTTGAGAGGAACTAACTTTAAAATACACCTTGACACCAGTTGTTTAAAGTCATTACTAATTTGGCTAGGAAAAGTTAAGATAGTCCTGACAATTGAAATGTTTCTAATGAGTTGTTTATGTTCATCATTAGCATTGTTTTCAGAGCTATCAGAGAAACAATTTATTAAAAAACTGCTGTCCCTCTTTATCAGGACACCTCTCCACGCAGCTGCATTTGCTGGCCACATAGACTGTGTTCAGCTGCTCCTGGCCCATAGTGCATCTGTGGATGAGGTTGACCAATCAGGGCGCAGTACCCTGATAATGGCAGCGGAGAAAGGAAGAGTCGAAGTTTTAGGTTTGTATTCCCCATTTTTTTTATTTGAATTATGCCCGTTCATTTGTATGAAAGTATGAAAATGGGCTCAACTGAATGCACTTATGCAAAATGTGGCGTGTGTTTTAAACAGAAGCTCTACTTACTAGTGCCAATGTGAACCTCAATCTGACTGACCAGAAGGGCAATACAGCTCTCCATCTAGCCTGCAGTAACGTAAGTATAGCCCATTGCATGCCATGGCCATTAGTCTCTATAATTTCAGTTTCAGCAGTGATCTTTCATAATCATTTTTATAATTTGTTATAAGCAAAATATGTAATTTTGTCAAAATGCCACTAACTGGCGGCAATAGCCTTGTGGGTAGTGCGCCGACATATAGCGCTGTTGCGCTTTAGGCATCCCGAGTTTAAGTCCCGGCTTAAGTTTCCTGATCCCCCAGAAATTATATATTCACACCAGTGACACATAATTCACTAAATCAAAGGTTTTCATTATATCTACTCACTCAAAAAATCATATTTCATTGTTTTTTTATTATAATAATTTGGCCTTTTCAAAAACAGAAAAATGTTAACATTTCCACTTGTTAAGTAATGCAGACACCTATGTGTGACTGTAGTTATGGGGTTTTAATACTTCATATAATTATCAAGCAATAAAATTGTGCCAGATATAAAAACCCACATTGCAAACAGTATTTTTGAAAATATATTACTTGAGGTCTCCTAAAGATGATTTTTCCTGTTCTTTCTGCTTGCTCTCTATCCAGGGAATGGAGGAATGTGCATTGCTCATTCTTGGAAAACTTCCAGACTCTGCCCTCGTCGCTACAAACGCTGCACTGCAAACGTGAGTTCCCCTCCACATTACAGTATAGTACATAATATATTTACATTTAGGCATTTGGCAGATGCTTTTATCCAAAGCAACATGCATTGCATTGCATTTAAGGAATACTTTTTATCAGTTCATGCATTCCCTGGGATTCAAACCTATGACCTATTTAAGAAGCAATTGATGCTCACTTGTTTCTCGTTCACTTCCTCAGACCTCTGCATTTGGCTGCTCGCAGCGGGATGAAGCAGACAGTGCAAGAGCTGCTCTCTCGTGGGGCCAGTGTTCAAGTACTAGATGAGAATGGTGCGTCTTCCTGAAACTAAAATCTTTGCTTATTTGGTTTACGCATAGATTGTCAGTGTATGTGCATCTCTCTATCTATCTTGCAAAAGCAGTGGCCGTGTTTCATAGCTTTGACGATGTCATGCGTGTCCCCTTTTGCCCCTGACCATGTGTTTGGCTGCCTATCTAGCGGGGCACTAATTGAATGCCGCTTCCGTCCATCGCCTCTCCACCATTGTCCCTTTGTTGCTCCATCCCTCCTTTTACCTCTTTCTGCTTTCCTGTCCCCTTTCCTGTCTCTCGCTCTTTGGCTGTCTTTCCCCGCAGGTCTCACCCCTGCTCTGGCTTGCGCTCCCAGCAGGGAAGTGGCTGACTGCCTGGCTCTTATTCTGGCTACCATGATGCCTTTCTGCTCCCCTTGCAGCTCTGGAGCTCCTTCGCCAGGCGCCCTGCTGAAATCTCTGCCCCGCCAGGCCAAGAGCACCCAAGGCCCCCGCAGTCCAAGGGACCCCTCTGGCCCCTCCAGTGAGGGCACGACCACCGAAAACGACTCGGACTCAGAGACATTTTGACCCCAACTCCTTCTAGATGCGCCGGTCATAGTTTTCAAAGCACATATTGTCATGAACCTTACAGTTGTACAGATTTTTGATTATGGAGCACAGCCTCTATAACAAGAGAATATGACATATAGCACACATGGTACGCTTTTGTTCTGCCACACTTGTTTGCACAGGAGATTTTTTCGAAAGCCGTTTTAATCAGTTTAACACAGGTTGATTGATGATGGATTGCCAAATGTTGGCTGACTTGTCACACTTGAAGGATGATGATGTAAAGTGCAAAGTGGTGTGTCTTAATCTGTGGACTTTTGAAAGCACAAACTCATTTCACCCTTGTTGGGACCAATCAGGAAACAAGAAATCACATTTTTGGAATAACAGGGGAATTGGCGTCACTGTTACCAACCTTACTTAATATTTATTTGTAATTAAAGGCTGGAATACACCACACAACTTTTCCCAGATTTTTGCCCCGATTCACAGTCTTGACGAGTTGATGCAGTTGCGGTCAGAGCCGTATTACAGATTGACAGATCGAAATGACTTGGTGTGTGATTATCAGCCATTTAAAAATCTTTTCAGATTTGAAAAGTTGTGTAGTGTATTTCAGTCTTAAGACTAGTTAGACTGAAAGTCTAAAGTCATGAAATCCAGTGTAATGTGATGAAAAATCCAATGCAAGTTCTCCATTTCTGAATCGTACACCAGTTGTACTTTACACATTATATTTGACATGTTGTGAAAAGAAGACTCTTTAGATTTATATTGCAAAAAGAGCATTTTTAATCCACTTAGATAACAACATTTCTAGGCCTTGATGGTCTAAACTTACGTCTGACGCTTTTGGAGAGTGACACTTTTGCCACTCGGTTCCTTCTCCGACATAAAGACAGTGTTCAGATAATACTTCTATTCAGGTTGAATTTTAGATTCTAGTGAGAGGGCATAGCATGTTATGTGAACCATGATGTTCTCAAGCCTGTACCGATATTTATTAACATTTAGATAACAATGGTACTACAGCGGTATGCACTTATGTATAGGAGTAAATGGGTGTTTAAAGGATTATAATTCTGGCATTGTTTACTCATGTCATTGTTTTTGTGGAACACAAGAAGAATCTTAATGTGGCTCTTTCCATACACCAATACTATGTCTGTCAAGCTCTAAAAGTGACAAATAAATACCTCCAAAAGAGCTACATACTGTATTCCAAGTCTTCTGAAATCCTACGAAAGCTTTGTATGAGAAAGAGGCCAAATTTAAAGCTGTAATCCACTGATAATATTTCCCTTCATTGAGCTGTTGGTTCTGGATCATTGTGTTAGTGAAATGAACAGAATTGTGAACAAATCAACCAATTTATCAAAAAGAACCAGTTTAAAATAATTATTTGTTCACTAATTGGACTGATCAAGACTTGTTCTGGACCCAGCAGCCAACAGCTCACTGAAGGGAAGTTTATCAGTGAATAATGACTTAAATTTTAGTCTGTTCGTCACACAAAACTATTATGTTGCTTCAAAAGACTTCTCCTTTTGTGTCCCATGAACAGAAAAACAGCAGCGGTTTGAAGTAATGTGAGAGCAAGTAAATAATGACAGAATTGTGAGTTTGGGGTTAACTATTCATTTAAAAATGAATCTAGGACTATAATTAACGTTCCCTGTCTTCTTTTTTCTTTCCTTCTGAAATTCTTTTAATCATTTGCACTGGTTGAATATCAATCCTTTATTTAAACCGATTTCTAAACATGCTTTTGGGGGATGTTAGCAAGAGTGTTTGAATCACCATTTTGATTCTATTTTGCTTCAAAAGATAAAGAGCTTTCAGTGAAGATGGTGTTTTAATATCTTGCCGGTCAGAAACTTTCCAAAACAAATTCAAAATGTAAATGTAAACCACCATTTGTCTGTTTGCCTTTGTCCACAATGTGCCAGTTTCTCCACCGTGTCCAGTGCCTTGTTCTGCATGTTCAGACTGTGTTAGATTACATCAGTATATGTCTGTATGTATGTATTAGAGTGTAATGAATGTCTGAAGATGTGAAGATAAGTCTGGGTCACACCTGCCAATCGCAAGCCAATGTTTTTCACCAAGTCCTGATGTTTGTGCCTATGAGTGTGTGATTTACAATAGAAAACAGTCTTTGTACATATCAGCTCATGGACATTATCATCACCAGAGCAAAAATTGCACACAACTGTCTTATAACGGAAGCACATGGTTGATTTCTTTTCATATATTAGATGGATTGTGAGTGAAAGGACGCAGAAGAATGAGTCAAACAGTATTATAACAGGGGAAAAAAAGCTTTGAAATGTGTGACAATCTAGATTATGGTTTCCTC